TTTAAGGTATCAGAGGGGTAGCCGTGTTAGTCTGGATCTGTAAAAACCAACAGAGAGTCCTGTGGCACCTTTAAGACTAACAGATGTATTGGAGCATAAGCTTTCCTGGGTGACATGCATCCGACGAAGTGGGCATTCACCCACGAAAGCTTATGCTCCAATACATCTGTTAGTCTTAAAGGTGCCACAGGACCCTCTGTTACGTTTAAGGTAGTTTTATGTAGTTAAAAAAAAATGTTCATTTTTAATCAGATTTTAATTTCCATTTAATTAAAACTTGACACGGATCATAAATAAAAATTAATCATCTAGTAAGTAAGAGATGCATCATTCACCATTTTGTAATTGAGAAAAAATAGAAAAACGAAGAATCTGAATAAATTAAGCTATATAATTGCTTCAATAAATGTGTGTAGATATTGTGTATCCTGCTGGTTACCAAAAAGAAGCAACAAATCAGTTACATTTAGTTGCAAATAACATATTTTAATGGTTACCAATGACCATCTTTCTTTATGAAAATAACTGAAAAGTACAAATTGATTATTTGATCTATTATCTTTCTAGGTACTGAAGATAAGCTGATGAGTCTGAAATTTCCCAGGTTGTCTTTATTCCCCTTTTTATAGAGTGGCACTATATTTGTCTTCTTCCGGTCCTCTGGACTCTCTCCCATCTTCCATGAGTTTTTGAAGATAATCATGAAATGGCTCGGAAATCTCGTCTTGCGTCTAATGTATTTGTAGATTGTTTTCTTGTTACCTTTTTATGTCTCTAGCTCGTTTAATCTCATTTTGTGTGTTGGCCTTTCTGATTTTATCCCTACATGCTTGAATTGTTTGTTTATATTCATGCTTTGTAATTTGACCGAGTTTCCACTTTTTGTAGGACACTTTTTTGAGTTTCAGATCATTGAAGATCTCCTGGTAAAGCGAGAGTGGTCACTTGCCATAATTCCTATCTTTCCTACGCAGTGGGATAGTTTGCTCTTGTTCCCTTAATAGTATCTCTTTGAAAAACTGCCAATTTGATTGGGCCTTGTGTTATTCTCTTCCAGTTTGGAGTCTTCCAGCTATTTCTTATATTGAAAAATCATCATCAATGAAGTCCATTGGTATGAAATGGAGAGCATTACACTATCCTAATGGAAGAGCAGGATGGGATTTTTGTCAATAAAATGGCTTTTCGTTGGAAAATGCTGATTCATCTAAACCAAAACAGGAAGAAGTCAGTTTTGACAAATGTCTTCTTTTGAAAAAAATTCCAAGTTGTCACAATGACCTGTTTTGATATTTTTTAAAAGAAAAATTCTGGATTTTAGTTCAAAATGACTTTGTTTCAAAATTTAAGCTTATTGTAGTTTTTAAAAGAGTTAAAATTAAAAAAAAAATTTTTGAAATTAAACTATTTGATGGATCCAAACTGATCGAATGATTGATTTTGTGATTGTTGGTTAGCAAACGTTTTCAAAATTTTGACTTTTCATTCTGAGTCAGGATGGGGAAAAAAATCTCAAAAGTTTTCCTAGGATGAGAAAACCATTTATCACCCAGCTCTAGTTAACAGTACAATAGTATATATTTCTTTCCCCTCATGTAGTATAGCTTAGTGTAACAAAGTATAGCTACTCAACCTAAATGCACGGAAAATCAAAACTATTGCCACCTATCACTGTGGCTTGTGTGCGCATTCCCTCTACCTCTGTCCGCCTGTCAGAAAGGAGAAAATCACCCTCAAAATTCAGATTAAAAAGAAGGTGCAAATTTTTAACAGTGAGGGTAATTAGCCATTGGAATAATTTAAGGATAAGGTTGATTCTCCATCACTTGAAGTCATTAAATCAAGACTGGAGCCCAGATTTTCAAAGGTATTTAGGCACCTAACTCCTGTTGATTTAAAAGGGAATTAGGTCCCTAACTACTTTTTAGGAGCTGGGCCTGGATGTACTTCTAAAAGATGTACTGTAATTTGAATAGAATGTGTGGTCTTGATGCCAAACTCACTGGGTGAAATTCTCTGGGCTGTGTAATGCAGGAGGTCAGACTAGATCATAACGGTCCCTTCTGGCCTTTAAATCTGTGTATCGATGGGGGTTTTTTGTTGTTGTTGTTTTTTACAGTTTGTCTAAATTCAAACAGCCTTTGTAAAATAAACATACTTTCCCGGTGGAGTGAGTGGCCAGAAGAAATCAAGTACAATATCTTATTAATAAAAACAGCAGCGCTGTTTGGCCGTTACACGCCATATATTGCCTGATTTCTTGCCATTCATGGGTATTCCACAAATTTGCCATCAGAACATAACCTATTCTGCAACATGATTAATTGCCAGATTGACAGCCCCAGAGACTGAAAGGCCTTTATCAAACTGGTGTGGTTTGGGCTCTTGTCATGTCACCATGATTAAACTCTGAGCTGAGGGAACCCCCCCGTCCCAATGGGTGAGTCAGTTCTTGCCCTCGCTGCTGAGTCTTCCAGTGAAGATGTCAGTTGCTCGGGTGGTTTTTGTGATATAGGAATCTGCCAACTTGAAATTGGCTGGAGACCATCAACTGACTTCACAGAGGTCATTCAACAGCACTCAAAAGGAACCAGCTACCAGTAGCAGTAGGCTGTCACTCATCCTGTTCAGTTGGTGACTTCAGTCTCTAGGGCTATCCGTCTGGCTCCTTTCACCAGAGCTACATTCCGTACAGAAAGAAATGATTAAAGAATATAATGTAGTCCACATAAGTTGTGTAGGCACAGGCATTTAGAAGGAACGCTACTGGTGTTTAAACCCCCATTCTGAGCAGCAAATAGCCTCCAGCCAGTTCCCACTCTTCTGGCTTTTTTTGATTTGAAAATCCCATTCTTTTTAAATATCTATTTCTGATCACCGACATATGGGCTGACCAGCAGGTGATATAAATCAGCATTACGCCATTGAAGTCAGTGGTTCAACACAGATTGATGCTAGTTGAAGCTCTGCTCTAAGGGTGAGGCCCCTGCCCAAGGAGTGGGGAGACCTGCGTTCAAATCCCCGCTTTGCCATTGGTGTTCTGTGCGACTGTGGAACAGTCAGTCTCTTTGTGCCTCATTTCCCCATCCAGCTAATGTGGATAATAGCCCTTCCCTGCCTCAGTGGGCTGTTGTGAGGATAAATGCATTAGACTGTGAGGTGCTCCGATATGACAGCCATGGGCACTAGGTGGACAATGTAATTACGGATGGGATGGCACCCTGATGAAAATTCAAAGGCATTTCAGCTGTGCTAGCCACTGTCAATTAAGTCAGTTATTCCAGCTGAAAAATAGCCATGCAGACACCACAAATGATGTATTTTGGGTGTGTTTGGCTGGCATTTGACCCTTTATATGCAATGTAGCTTCATACTAAAACATTGCTTTTTGTACAGGGGCTGAAACCATGTCCAGCATGACAATCAGTTGATATTCTTTCATGTCTCTGTGTGGGTATGATATTACAGACATTATTTTGTCAACAGGAAGAAAATAAGTCCTTTAGAGAGCAGAAGGCACTGTTAACAAGCCTGAAGGGCTAAGAGTCTCATATAGAGTAAGACAGAAAATAATTGTGATGGTCAGACAACACATACGCCCATTCAGCGGGAAGTGAGCGCATAAAATATCCCTAAAACAAGGCCTGATGTTGCTCAAGACTTGCCACTCCAGGCTCATCACTACTTGTAAATTGATGCACCCGTGTTTTGCAATTCATATGCATTATTTACTAACCACGGGCTAGAGTGTGTGACCCTAACTCAGATGGTGAGCACTTAGTCATACCGGGGATCCATTGACATCAATGGGCCAATGGCTGTGTGTAAGCACGTCCCGGCAGGAAAAAAAGTTCACAACTTATCCCTAAACTGACACATTATTCCTGTAAAACCAATGGTATCTGCATTTAGCAAGTAGTGTCATGGCCTCTGTCGTTAACATGATTACAGCTACAGCTGACCCAACTGTAGCATTTGGGTACGTCCAGACTACCCGCCGATCGATTTATCTGGAATCGATATATCGCGTCTCGTTAAGACGCGATATATCGATCCCTGAACACGCTCCCCGTCGATTCCGGAACTCCACCGGAGCGAGCGGCGGTAGCGGAGTCGACGGGGGAGCCGTGGCTGTCGATCCCGCGCCGTGAGGACGGGAAGTAAGTCGGAATAAGATATGTCGACTTCAGCTATGATATTTCCGTATCTTAGATCGATTCCCCCTCCCCCCCTTAGTGTAGACCAGGCCTTTGTGATAAAGTATGTACATTGCTTTAGAGTAGCTAAACAGCTGTAATACCTACGTTTATATAAAGAAAACATGCAGCAGGAGGTAAAGGATCGCATCATTTTGGCTTATGTTTTTGTAGAGACAAACTCTGATTCCCTGTACCCTCATCATTAGTCATCAAAGCCCTGCATGTTTGTCTAATATGGCCATTTGGGTTGTATCGGTAAGTCTTGTTTTGCTTCCACTCTCTGTCACTGATCTATCAGCCAAGCACATTTTTTGGCATCAGTCTGAAGCTTGAACTTACGGCTGACATGCTTTTCCTGGTTAAAAACCATGTCTCCAGTCGACGTTTATGAAAGATGCTATCTGGACAGCACTGGCGAATGACGCCTTCTGTGCAACCACTACTGTCTCAACCGTGCCCCGGCGGGATCAGCTCTTGACTAGAGCTTTCAGTCTCCTTGGCCTTTCACTCTGCGATTGCCAACAATTAGTCCCAGTGCTGGGGTAATTGTTTTGATGGTGATGATGTGGCCAGTTTGTTGGTCTTTTCATAGACTGATAGCCTAGCGCTGACTGTTTCTTTTGGCTGACCGAAATCTGTTTTGGCTGACCGAAATCGGCGGCCCATTCTTCTACACACCTCCAAAATGAGCATGATCCATTCTAGCCAATGGGGAAAAAACAAAACTTAAAAAAAATGAAACCTTTGATTGTTTGTTGCTGTTGTCATTAGTTTAACTCTAGGTATTTGTTGATATCACAGATGCTGGGAGCTCAGTGCCGGCGCTATCAAATGGATTTACCAAGCACCGATATTAGCAGCCATTGGGGTAGGTTTTATACATGCAATGTAGAGTAAATGGTTTATTGGTCATCTGATTTAAAACAAAAAACAAAAAAACACTGTGGCTTTGCTGTAAAAGATACAGGTTCTGAAGTGAAAGTGGGGCGGGGGAGGATGGAATTAGGAGCAGGTTACCTGGCAGCAGCCGCTTCTGTCCTGCTTTACTGAGCCTGGGTCCCCACCCCACTGCTGCAACCTGGTGCACAGGGCTGCAGTAACCTTCGTGATGGAGGGGCAGCTGGGCCACATTTGAGTGAGCGGCGTTGTGACACGCACACGACACCGTGCACCATGTCGTGATGCCTGGAGCAGGGGCCTGGGCCCAGCTCTGTGCGTCAGAAGCCAACCCTGCCCCGTGAGTGCAGGGCAGGCTTCTTTTCCAGCCCCGTGTGAAAAGGTGGCACATGACACCTGAAGGCCGCCGGGGGGGGAGTGGTCCCCTCCCCCCAAAAAATTAGCTCGGCAACTGCTTATCTCTCTGAAGTGTTGATACCTCTCACAATAAAGAGAAAAGCACATTTTAGTGTCGCGGGCAAGAGGCTTTTTGTTTAAGATAAATAAATCCTCTGCATTTTTGTTATAAATTGGCTATTATAGTAGTCAATGACAACTCGTCCTTCACTAACTTACCAACATTATACCATACTACAGATGCAGCTGTCAACACATTGTGCAGTGCAGGAAACAGCTTGACAGAAAAACAGGAAAGGGAGGAAAGCCTTAATGGGCAGCAAGAAGGCACTGATGTTTCATAACATATATTGGAAATGAAAGATCCTCTTTGTAGTTTCAATCTCAGTGCCCATTTTCTCATCTTGAATTTTAGCCCTTTAACATTTCATGGGAATGTCTGAAAAGGCACAGTCTGGGGCAAGGAAGATAGGAAAATGATGTGTGGCTCCAGAAGCCCAATCATGCTGCTCTTCCATGTGTGAAACTCTCATTGAAACTACTGGGAGTTTGGTATGAAGGTAGATTCTTCAGAGGGGATAATGCTAATGAATCCATACTTTTGCTTTTAGAATTGTAGTGCTTGTATCCACAATGGCCCAAGTACTGCATTGTGCACTACTCTTTGTGACCGTAACTTGGCACACAAATAATAAACATAATAATAATACAGCAGCTGGACCTGCCAAGTTTCGTGCATCTCATGTCTATATTTATATAAAATCAGTACGTCATATCATTCATGCTCTATATATGGCCCAATTTTTGACACACATGAAACTAATCACTTGAGCAATTTATTCAAATACAAAAATAAAAAGACTGTCATTTACCAATGCATAGGGAAAACAAGTCTCCATTATCCTAATTATACTAATTAATCTGGCCCATAAAATAAATATTATATTTATACAGAATGTGTCTGTGCACTCCCCTGACATAACTTAAAAAATACATATAAAATTATTCCCAAAAATAGCTAAAGAGCAGAAGTGCGATCCAGTATAACCCACCATCAGCAATCCCAGCATATTAAAAACATAAATACCCTTTCCCCACCAATAATTCACTAAAGATTACTACTGATCCTCATGGCATGCTGCAAAGTTAGAGTTGGTAGGACAATTTATGGTGGGGGGGAGACAGGAGGGGAGGGTAGTGTCAAAAATGGCTTTTTAGGAATTTGGAAAACGTCATGACATTTTTTTCTCCCAAATGGTCCTGGTGTTTTGAACAACCGTAGAAAACAAAAATGTGCGGTTTTATTTAAGTTTTTGAGATTTGATTTATCATTCTTCCTGTTGGCAACATGGGAAAGGGGGGGGAAATGGGAGAAAGGAAAAATAAAAAAAAATCCCAAACGAAAAATGTTCTATAAAAATGTTAAAGAAAAAATTTGGAATGACCCAATAATTGTTCCTTTTCTAAACCAGCAGAACAAATAACACTGTGATATTTTCATGATCGCTTTTTGATCATCTCAACTGATCAGATTTGGTCTGTTTTGGACCATTGAGTTGGGATTGAATTCCAAAGCCACGAGGGCAGAGAACACTCAGACAATAGCTCCTTTTTATTTATACTAGCGTAGCTTTAAATTCAACACCTCTGCTGAGCTCATTTATATACTGTGCAGAACCTGATGTGACACCTTAAAAACACATGAAAATTGGATTTTTTTTAAAGGGCTGCTGCATACGGAATTTTCATTGTGCATCAACCTAACCTGTCAAAGATGCTTCTGTAACCAGGACACATGCATCCTTACACAGTTCATTTTGTTTGCTTCAGCAGAAGCAGAAAAAAAAAGTCCTTGGAGAGCGTTTTCTTCTTCTATTTACATTTACATCCTCCTTCGTTTCAAGACACACTTATTTCTGCTGCCTCGTCCTCATAAAAATTCACTATTAATGGCTACAGCACTGCAGCTATAGCCAGAATCTCTTGTCTTAAGAGTGGTATTGCAATAAATGATCAAATTTGTCCGGAAATTAAAATCTACTTTTCAGAATAATCTGTGATGTAAGGCTTTTAGATAGCTCATTGAAATGTGCTTCAGTCTAGGTACTAGACATGGCCCCTGGTTATTAGCTGCTTCTGCACTTGACACCAAGCTTTTTTACTATTATCAAAATGACACTTTGGTGGGTTTCCAGAGCTATCCCTTTTACTGGGCTCAAAGCACATCTGTAGTAAACTCAGTGTTATGACAGGCTGGTACAGGAGATCTGGATTCCAAGCCAGCTTGCTTCCCAAATGAGAATGAGCATGGCTGTTTCAACTTGATTGTCAGCATCACAAAATCGTGGGATAGTGGAAGAGGTTTGAAAGGCGAGGACTAGATGCATTGAGAGAACTGTCTGGGGAATGGTATGTGCTGGTCCTGCATTTAGCAAGCCACTATCTCTCATGCCACAATAGCAGTGAAAATGTGGCGACACGGACCCCTCTACCTACTCAGGATTCCAGGCAGCTTGTACAGCCCACGAAAGGGTCGGTGCCACCACATCTTCACTGCTGTTTTTAGATCCACTAGCTAGATTAAAGCTAGCATAGGTATGGCTACCTGCGCTGCAATTCACCTTCAATGGTAGTGTAGACATACTCTCAGTATTTGTACAGTACCTAGCACAATGGGGTGCCAGTCTCAATTGGGGCCTCTAAGAACTACTATAATACATAGAAATAATATTACTGGTGACCCCATCCTATTACAGAACAAATTTTTATCATCAACCACATAGCTCATGTCTCTAGAATAGAACACGGGGCTTCTTTTCAAGCCCAAGAGTAACAGTTTACACAGCTGTTTGCTCTCTGAGTACAAAAGCCACCCAGTTCTACAACGCAGACATTATATCTGATGCATTGGTTTGTTTTCAAATGAGCCTGGAAATATTTCAGGAAAGCCAGGTAACAAACAAACCGGCATAAAAGCTGGGTGAGAGAAATGAAAACAGAGACGAAGCAGATTTTTGAAAGGCACACACCCCGGAAACCAAAAAGAGTAACATCAAAATGAAAGGTTTCAAAAAAACGACGAAGTCACCTTTTTCATATTCCTTTTAGTGAGGATTTTGGGGCTGTTTGTGGGCTAACTTACATAGGTGTAAAAGAGGAGTCACTCCACTAAAGCCAATGGAACTTGATTTGTGTTTACACTGTGGCCCCTCTTCATCTCTTTGGCAATGTGAAGTGGATGTACATTCTCCTTTACATTGATCTAATGGTGTAAAAGGGTCTTCTGTGTAAAGGAGAGTCATGCCCAATGATATCCAGCAGCACAGAACTCGTATAAATGAGATTGGAATCGTGTCAATAAGTCACAGATTTTTAAAGGCCAGAAGGGATCATTGTGATCATTTAATCTGACCACCTGCAGTCACAGGCCATAGAAGCTCAAAGAATTAATTCCTGCTTCACGTCCAATAGCGCTGCTTGCACTATCTGCTAGAAAATCAAGAACGCTTGATTTAAAAAATTCTATTGCTGGAGGATGGATCACATCCCTTGGTATCTTTATGAGCACTGGAACGAGAGCCCCCTGCATACTGTTCTAACTGTGTCCTATTTAGAATTGCTGTAGAAATAAGGAATTGCCAGAAAATAGTGGGATAGGTGCTCTCTGTCAGCATACTCCACCTCACTGCAGTATTTTGAGTGGAATCAATACATTCCTTTGGTGTCAATTGGGATCTTTCACTATGTTTCCAGGTGAAAGTGACAGTAATGTGCGTAATGGACGTTATCATGCTTAACACAGGGAGGGCTTCCTTTCTTCAAGCCCTGTTTCTACAGTCTCGGTAATATATGAATGAACTGTCTGTGTTCATATATGATGCTGTCCAGTTCTTCTCTCATGCCACTGGTCTTGCTCCATTATTGTCAATGGAATTACTTCTGATTTAAACAGCAGGAGAATCAGGCTCAGGCCCTATGTGAATTGATGTCCTAAACTTAGCCTCTGAAGGACCTACAGGAACAAGGAATTCCAAAGCCTTTCAGCAAGACCAGCTTGCCTCCAGCTCCCAGATGTTCTGCCTTTATTTCAAAGGTCACAGCAGCAACAAAGGCCTGGTCCAAAGCCACTGAAGTGAATGGGAAAATGCTCCCATTGACTAGCTGGGCTTTAGGGAGAAAGGGTCTGACAGGTAGTTCAGATTTGAAAGTTTCCTAACAAATGTCTGTTTGATTCATGTGGATGAAAGTTTTCCATAAGGGACCCCCAACCTTGTTCACTGCAAGTGTTTCCACTGGCAATATGCTGTTGTGACTGAGTGGGATTCCAATTAGTCATAGAATATCAGGGTTGAAAGGGACCTCAAGAGGTCATCTAGTCCAACCCCCTGCTCAAAGCAGGACCAATCCCCAACTCAATCCCCAAATGGCCCCCTCAAGGATTGAGCTCACAACCCTGGGTTTAGCAGGCCAATACTCAAACCACTGAGCTATCTCTCCCCCACTGTATCTTAGTGATACAAAAGACCCATATACTCTCAATTTCATCCCTTTGGCAGCATAGTGTATGCTCCCCTGGCAGCGTACACACTAGAGTTTCAACCGACACTATGACCATTTGATTATTTGTTTGTTCACAATCAACAGCCAATTCTGTGGGAGGGCTTAGCTGATGCGATAATAGGCACATGGAAGAGAACATTCTTTCTGTGCCTAATAAAGGCAGCAGTTGTACTCAGGATTTCTAAATTACACCACAGAAGTCTTGCCAAAGCTGCACCTGAGCTGGGTGGTTTGCAAATGAAAGCCCTGCGTGTACATAAGTAACACTGGCAGTACGTACAAAGGAAACAATGTGAAATAAACTGTGACAAATAACAGGGCTACCTGTGATGCATAGAAAAATTACACTGGTGTGGAATCTAGGGCTTACTATGTCCAGTGCTCAAGCAATGCCAAAAAAAATCTCCGGCAATTCAGCGGGACCTGTTTTAAGGTGCAGTATCTCCCAAACCTCCTGGGCTGGAAAGAAATGCCATATAGCTTTGGGTAGCTGGGATTCATCCAATTTCATCCGTGCTGCTATTGCCAACTCCAGTAACCCTGGCCAGATTGAGGATATCAGCCCTTAAAAAAAAATCACATTATACCAATCTGGCTTTTGTCTGCTCAGATCGTGATGTGGTTTGAGCTGCTGCTGCGTTAAGCACAGCTGGAGTTAGGACCAGAGTCGCTGAACTCTGCTCAGTACAAGTGCACAGGGAGGTGATGGGCTACGGTGGTATTAAGCCATCGTTGTAACTCCCTGATCATGTGGTCAATGGGCATTGGTCCCAGTCCTCAGTGTGACTTAAACCTGGTGCCTATGGCCCCCAAAAGGCCATCACGGCCACGGTCCCTTTTGCTAGGCAATTCCCCCTACAGTAAACCAAGAAGGGTTGACATAGGAGTGTCTATATCATCTCTCTGCCACTCAAGGATTCCTCCCTCCCACCACCCAGATAGCCAGTCCACTTTGCACCTCTGGAATAGCCTCCAGGCCAATGAACCTGGCCCTAAAGCTTTTAGTAATGGAAAGCATGGGATCCCATCATTAATACCTCACTAATATCTAACTTTCATGGCTTAACCCATGTCAGAACTGAAGTGGTTTAATTTGGCATGGTTGACTTCAATGGAGCTGAAAATCTGGCCCATCCATGGTAACCAAGTGTGATATCTCACAACTAGCCAGGGCTAGGAACTTCAGAACCAGTAACTTTTCCAAGCAATATCCTGGACCGGTGATTAGAAATATATCATTTTTATCCTCGCTGCAGTTTTCCTATGTGGCAAAATGTTCTTCATTCTTTTCATGCCTATGCTACTGATAACATTCTTTTCAACCTCCAAAAGTTTGCACAGCTGCCTACAAGATAGCTAACTGTGTTTGCGTCCCTGTAATACCTCTCTGTATTTTACAGCTGAACTTCATTCTGTTCCTGAATACTGTACGAGTTCTGGCAACCAAAATATGGGAGACAAATGCTGTTGGGTATGACACAAGGAAACAATACAGGTAAGTCCCTGGACTGGATTTTGTTTAACAGCATATTCAAGTTTTTTCTGGTTAAAAGGGATGCTTTAAACAGTATGAATCACCTACAAGTCTCAATAAAAGGTGAAGCAGCCTTTGAAGCATAGCTTCTGAGAAATGTTGGGGTTGATGGATTGTTTTGCTACATTCATCTGAAATATCCTGGTTTTGTAAATTCATCTTCCAGACTGTGTAGGCATGCAAATTCATCTTTCATGTGGGCATTTCTGAAAAATATTCATTAATTTATTCTAGGGCTGTCAAGCGATTAATTGCACTGTTAAACAATAATAGAATACCATTTATTTAAATATTTTTGGATGTTTTCCACATTTTCAAATATATTGATTTCAATTACAAAACAAAGACATGTGTGCCTCATTTTGCCTACTGGCATTTCTGCAGTCTTTGCTGGAAATCAGAACCATGCGGGAGCTGGCCACCATCTGAGACTGGCTGCTGATCGCTGTGTGTAGAATCCTGTAGAGTGAATTACAATAAAGTATTCCTAAGGTGACAAAAGTGTAGATGAATGTGCAAAGGCCTGCATCAGAAAAGAAAGATTACATCTTCCTTCTCACCCCTTGCCAATGGGAAAAACATAGACTCATAGACTCATAGACTTTAAGGTCAGAAGGGACCATTATGATCATCTGGTCTGACCTCCCGCATGATGCAGGCCACAAAGCCGTCCCTACCCTTTCCCTTTACTCTGCTGTTGAAGTCCCCAAATCCTGTGGTTTAGAGACTTCAATTAGCAGAGAATCCTCCAGCTAGCGACCCCTGCCCCATGCTGCGGAGGAAGGCGAAAAACCTCCAGGGCCTCTGCCAATCTACCCTGGAGGAAAATTCCTTCCCAACCCCAAATATGGCGATCAGTAAAACCCCGAGCACGTAGGCAAGATTCTCCAGCCTGACCCTCATTAGCCATTATACTATTTACCAGCGATGGCACGCTGTTCCTTTGACTAAAATCACGTTGTCCCATTAAACCATTCCCTCCATAAACTTATCTAGCTTAATCTTAAAACCAGACAGGTCCTTTGCCCCCACCGTTTCCCTCGGAAGGCTGTTCCAATATTTCACCCCGGCTGTCACAGTTACTCGAGCAGCCGGCTAGGTAGTGGCACACTGAAGTTGCAAAGCTGTATTGAAAGAGTGGGCCTAACCAGGGGAGCAGCTCCGCCATTTTCTGGAAGCGTTTGAAACTGATCGCTGCTGGTACGTCCTGGGGTGCAAAAGGAGACAAGGTTGGGTGAGGAGGTTGTGAGCTCATGCTCCCAGCCTCCACCACACTAAGCAGTGGAGCCAGCCAGCCAGCCATCCGTGCAAGGGATGTAGCAGTAGGCACACTTCCACTGGACCTCTTGGAGCTGCAATGCTTCACAGTTCCCCCACTGAGGTGTTGCAGCTATAAGCCACACCCTATTGAAGGGTTTTTGCTACAAGCCACAGTAGAGCCCTTAATTTGTAGTGTTTTCTTGGAAATGCCCATTTCCTTTTAACTGAACCCTCTAGGCGCATGAGCTTGTCGGCATTTCACACAAGAAAAGAGAGCTTTTGCTTTTTCAAGATGAAGTGTAAAAGCTCTCACGGGTCTAATGTAATAGAAAAGTACTTGTGTACAACAGTGCACTAGTAATGCTAATTCAGGTAGTAAGTACCTGCTGAGGGAGTGACGGCTGCAGTACAAATCACCCTTGTTGGGGTACGTTTTGGGGGCAGAATCAAGTGGGACTTGATGTTTTATGCTGGATTGAGGAAATGTAGTTATCCCATATTGCCACTGGGACTTCTTTTATGCTGGAAAATGATTAGCTAAAAACAAAATAGGAAGTCGTTACTCTGTAGGAGGTTGAAAAGACAACAAATTTATGTTAGATGGAATCTTAATGAGTCTACATGATCTCCTCACTGCAATCCACTCTCATTCATGTATTTTTTGTAACTCTCTTACAGGAAGCTAGCAAAGTCCACCTTGGTTCTGATTCTGGTCTTCGGGGTGCATTATATTGTCTTTGTGTGCCTACCGCACACGTTCACCGGGTTGGGATGGCAGATCCGAATGCACTGTGAACTATTCTTCAACTCTTTCCAGGTGCGAGATATATTATCTGTTTTGTTCTCTGTCCTTCTCATCCCTTACCCCTTCTCTCTGGTTCTCTGCTGATCCTTGACACTATGTAACAGTGTAATTCTGATGCCAAAGGCAAATCACATTTTTACGGAGCTGGGACAGGGTTGGTCATTGAGTTCCTAAACCTAGTAGCAGCTGGGAGCTCTGGGGGTTCGTTCCACTACTAGTACCACAGGAAGGATTGTGATGACTATATCGTGAGTGTGTTTTCTCTGGTGGCGTATTTATTAGCTTTTGTGATAAAATAGATGTTTTTTTGTTTCCTAGTTAGGAAAGTTCTGCTTCAGGGATGAAGATCCAAGTTTAATTTACTTTTCTACAATATGGATTCAATTACTATGCCAGCTGGATGCAAATAACCACAAGATTACGTAGATTCAAGAAATAACAGAGAAAACAGACATTGCAGACATGAATCTGAAGATAGTAGAGAGCAGAGCTGATTGGTTGGAAATTTTCCATTGGAATAATTTTCCAACAGAAAATGCCATTTTCACAAAAATCAAAATTTTCTGTAGGAAAATATCAATTTTCCCCCCAAAAATTGATTTTCTCTCAGGAAAATTGAAATGATGGTTCCCCAACTGCCTCTGTGGAAGGGCCTTGTTAATTTCACTTTCTGACTCTTGTCAGTTTCACATTCTCTCTGCAGGCAGGATTCTGGCCAGTGGAAACATTCCATTTTGGTTCTTCTGAAAGGGAATTTTTCTGGAAGTTTCATCTCACAAAACATTTCACATTTTTTTACTTTCCGTCCTGATTTGGGACCAATTTTTTTTTTCAAAAATGTGAAATATTTCATGGGAAGGGATTTCCATTTTCCAGCCGGTTATAGTAGAGAGAGTGTCTATCTTCCGTCTCCTCATCTTCTTTCTCCAGAGATTCTGATAACAACAGATAAAACTCTGCTGGATGTAGCTAAAATAACATGGAAACAGGAATGAACTTGGAAGACTTTGAGAAATGATAAACTTTATTAATATGTTTAACATGAGTTAGATATGCTAAAATTTAGCTGGAAGGAGACTTACATTTGACATGCTTCTTCGCATGGCAATTATCCCTTAATGATTTCTGCTTCCTTATCCTTCAGGGTTTCTTCGTCTCTATCATCTATTGTTACTGCAATGGAGAGGTAAGATTAAAGCATGGATTGGATGAGGCTCCTAACCAAAATCACTGAGTGACAGAAAGGGAGATTTTCTACAGAATATAATAAGAGGATGGTTGCAAGTTAGCTGTTTGTGCTACAGCTACTGATCAACTCTTAAAGGGATAGAGTCACGCAGTTAGTTCCCTAAATTGTTATGAATTATAAAATAAACAAAATGGAAACAATTTTTGTCTGGGTTTGAACAGGCCCCTGTATTATTTGCAACATGGTGGGAAACTGACTAGTACTATTCATTGTACCAATGGAGTGAAATGACATGCACGATGAAACGTAAATGCAATGTTTAAAAAGGGCTTTCAGTCAAGGTGACATTAGTGACACAGGGCCAGATTCTGATGCTCTTACTTCAGCAACCCCTTACTCTAATGGTCCCTTCTGACTTTATAATCTGAATCTGTGATTACAATAGGATGGCTCCTGGAGAAAGGAACTGTACAACTTGAGAAAGTGAATTAGAATCTGGCTGATAGGTGATGACATTTGTTTGGGCATTTGGGATTTTTCTTAAGGGTTAATACGTGATTTTTAACCTGATTTTACACAGCTGGAGGAGCTTCATACCAGGTGAATTTTCAAGATTGTGCTTTAAAGGGAAGATGGTTAAAGGCTTCCTTTAGCTCTTGACTCCTTCCCCTTACAATTTATGCCTTAGATCTGTTGTTGATTGATTTTGTTTTTCCCTCTGGTAGGTTCAGACTGAGATCAAGAAGACTTGGACTAGATGGAACCTGGCTATTGACTGGAAAAGGACGACTCCATGTGGCAATTACAGATATGGCTCCGTCCTCACCAACATGACCCTCAGCACCAGCAGCCAGTCTCAGATGGTGGCCAGCTCCCGCATGGTTCTGATTTCCAGCAAAGTCTGCAGAAATGCCAGTAGGCAAAATGAGGCACACATGAATTTGCCTGGGTATGTTAGGAGCAATTCTGAACAGGACTGTGTGCACCACTGGGTTCATGAAGAGGCCAATGAAGATGAAGAGAAGCAGGTGGATGATATATCACTCAAGGAGTCACTTAGACCGCAGGGTAGTAGCACAGACCCTGAGGGGAACAGGGTAGAAATGGAGGAGGCTCTGTGAACAGTCATGGACATTCATGGGCATGTCCAATCTAAAACGGGTTGAATCCTCTCATGATGCCAACAGCTACTAGTATCCATATACTGCCTTGAGCCAATCTCAGTGAAGATCTTGGTCAATGGTGAAGCTTAATTTACAAGGACTCCAGACCTACATAATGCTGCTGACTACACAAAATGGTTTCTATGCCACAAATGTCAAAGGCACAAAAATGTGAATTTTTAGCACTTACACTACCTGCATTACACTTCAAACTCCGTACAGCAGACACATCTTAGATGTTTTCTGCAAATGCTCTTCTGAAGGCATGTGAAAGGTGACTCCTCCATTTGTACACCTGAAAGGAAAAGAGGAATGGATATCAGAAGGTTTACAGTATATGCATTTGAATGGATTCTCTGGACTCCAAAATGTCTTAGCTGTGAATCACAGAGCTGGGAAAAACTTTAAAAGGGTTTTCATCCAGTACCTAGTGAACTTTGATCTCAACGCGGAATGTTTCAAATCATTGTTTTTAAACTGAGATGCTACTTACGTTTGATTATTTATACTATTGCTTTAGTTTGTTTTATGGAAACATCCAAACCAAAACCTCATGTACTATGTGACCTAAATTCTGTAATGAGACAGCCCCTGCTGCATGCACTGAGCTCTGCAATGATTTGGGAATTAAGTGGCAATACTAACTGAATATGAAATCATTTGAAAACCTTCCGGGTAAGTGAAATAATTCTAAAAAGAGCACCAGAAAATGTAAATATAATTAGTGCCCTGTAATGGAGGAATGTCTCCTGCTGTATGTCGACCTCTGAAAGACTTTGATGTTGGACAGTGAATGGGTTTGTGCCCACTGAATCTCCATAAAACATCAAAAGAAACCGTGATTGGGTTAATACAGGCCTGAGCTACTTCAGCCAGCTTTAGTACTGTCAAAAGCACTTTCATTAAACACATTAAGGTCTTTGCCAGATACTTACTTCCTGTTGGCCAACTTTGGTCCAAAGATCCTTGCGCTGAGATCAAATTCTTCCACTGGGACACAATCCCACTCCATTCTTCCATGGATTTCCAAGTAGTGGAGTTCTACTCGGGGGGATTGGATGCATAAGATGGCAGCTGCCTACGACACGTCTCTCCACGGACCCTTTAAGTGCACCCCTCTGGCAAGCTTCTGCTATCCAGGCACTTTTTCATTGCTTCAGCTCAAATGTGGTGGTGGACATGGTATAACAATCTGATAGAATAGCTAAGGAGCTCCTGCATGCCTCACCATGATGGCCCAGGTAGGAGGAACTCAGCAGAGATCCCTTAAATGGACACTCAATGGCTCTCGTCGTGGTGGGATAGTGCTGCAGTCCGTGCCTCAGTCTCGACTCTTAGAAAGATTTCACCCTTGCTCTACTCTGTCATAACAAGGGCAACAGTGGAGGGGAAAGCCCAGGAAATGCACTGAATTCCTCCCTTGTGGGAAAAACGCACACCACGGCCTAGGGGTGAAGATGGCAGCAAAAGGGCCATTTTTGTAGGTGCTGCTGTGTACGCTGAACCACTTGGGGAGGGGTGGAAGGTGCAGTATGCAGCCATTCGCATCTCCACATATTTCATCATCAGTATTGAGAATTACCAGAGTGTGCTGTAAAACATTGAAATGTTTTTTAAATGACTGGATTTGGGGGAAAGGGGTGAAAATAGTTTTTAAATGTCACCTGAGCGTAAATTGAGCCGAAAAGACTGAGATAACTAATGAACCAATGATCTGTTTGGTGTACATTTGAAACTTACCATGAACGGCAGCGCATTTCTTCCTACAAGGCATGAAAATAAGAACAAGCCGTGGTGATGCCAAGTACGCTCTCTGTGAACTGCATGATTTCACACAAAAAGTTCCAGATCCCACAGCAATTTGGTTTATCCCAACTGGATTTGACATGGGCTAAGTTCTATCGTGTCTGATTGAAACATCTGAGGGCTGATGCTGTGAAGTGCTAACTGATGTTAGACGTCAATTGTGCTGTTTCGGTGCTGTTGTTCAATGATTTTGTTGGGTAGCTATTGTTCAGTGGCACATGAGAGACATTAAAAAAAATCTCCTTTTTTCAGCTTTTCAGTTGTGCTTAAAACTTATGTCTGGCGCTTGTGCTTCTCCTTTATTTCTGCCTCTGTGGCCTATCAAATCTCTCTCAGAGACGCTCATTCATTACAGTGATCCTTTTCCTACCCAGGTATTCTCTGTGGTTAAAAGCTCAAATTTCCCTCACTGAACCTATTAACTAGCCGGTAAACCTTATAGTCAGGGGAATAGACAAGATGGCAAGAGAGTTCTTTCCCATCTCCCCCGATCTCCGATATTACTCATGATATGGACTAATTCTGAAGTCCTTGTACTGTCACCTAAAGCATTCTGTACATCCCTGTGCCAAAAATGTCCTATGCAGTAGTGAGAGCTCACATGAGTACAGATTTCACAAAAGCAATTCATCCTTTTGCTAAGGAGTTCTCGGTACACCTCTTCCTGTTGTCATTTTGCATTCATTTATTGTATGGTGAAAAAGACGTTTTCTGTGGGACTCATCCAAAGTTTAATGAGCTTCACGCAGGGCCAGCTCTAGGATTGTTGCCGCCCAAAGCAAAAACAATTTTGGCCGCCCCCCCCCACCCCGGTTCTTTAATTACCCCACCCCCGGCCCCGCCTCAACTCCGCCCCTTCCCCAAA